ACACTCCGTGACGCTTGCTCTGCACTGCAGCTGCCTCAAGTCATGCACAGGAAGGTGCAAGTGCAATCGCGCCGGTGTCAGGTGCACGATGCTCTGCAAATGCGAGAGCGGATGTAGCAACAACGTTGACAGCAACGACTAGTGTGACTTAATGCTAAAATGTATGGGCACAGGCCATACATATATCGAGAGCACTGTTGTGCCCAGTCGAACTTACTGATTATATAACTGGACACAAACCATGACAGTAATCACTTCTAACCAAAGATTCCATATCGGAAAGCCTACCTTGCCTGTTGTATTTGTCTCTTTATACACAACTGTGTAACTGTAACTATGTTAACCTAACATACATGTAGGAATAGATGACTAATATGGAATAGACAAATCAAGCAAATTATAATTCTTGTTGAAGCCATGTCCACCATTGTCCACCATGTTTGAGCTTCGTAGAATAAAAATTTACAAGAATATTTGGTACTTAAATCATTCCTTTTATTATTTCCTTACGATAATGTATGTCAGTATGTTTATGTGTGCATGTTAATAATTGATAACCCTCAAATTAGTTTCATCCCAACATTACATCCCCCCAAAGATAGAAAGAGATTAGAAATTCTAAGTATACACATCACAGCATTTGCCCGTATGGCAGCCATATTGGATTTGACCATTGTAACAGCCCAAAGAAACCTCAAATCGATGTAAGAACATCATAATCAGATTCTCTGACCCCGAAAACCCCATAAATATATAAACTTTTATCATACTAGCCCTTTCCCTTTTGGAACTACACTGGATCTTTAGCTCAGATGGCGGCCATTTTGGATTTGCCCAATATGGCGGCCCCAGGGGGCGCCCTTCTTGGCGCCCGGCAGAAATCGTAATAGTATGGTATAAGCTATCTCTGGACCAAATTTGGTACTTTTAGAAGAATCTGCACCAAACAACCCCTATATAGCCCTAACAGCCCTGACTATAACTAAAGCTCCTGAGGAGGGGCGTCTCCCACTATTTATACGTCGTGGCTCGGACCCACGACCGCGCTCTTTCTTCCACGTCACCGGTCTCGTTATAGTTCCCACTTGGCCAACCGGCTTTACCGAATAAGGTGGGGTAAGTATTACAACTACCGAATAAGGTGGGGTAAGCATTTCCCACTTGGCTTGTGATCCGATTCTGGCCCCGATGTCAGTTCCGTCACCTACGACGTGGCATCCTCGTGGTTGCTATTTTGGAGTTGCTTGTCACAACTCGCAAGAATTCGAGAATTTATGGCCGTGGCTTCCGGATGGTCGGCTCTGTCTCGAGCTGTTGCTCGCTTGATCCCTATGGGAAGGGATATTGAGTTGTTTGCAATTGACCGAGTTCGTTTAATCGATGTCAAACACGTTCGATGTGATCGCCCGAGGTTGAGTTTGTTTAATTGAACCAGTCGTTATATCTTCCAACCTACTTCAATTGAGTCGAGTAAATCTTGCTGTCAAACTGTAACAGTCGTCGTTAATCTGGAGTCAGGATACTGTCGAAATGTGATCGTGATTAATTTGGGTTAATTAAAGTCTAGTCGTCTAATCATTCAATACGTTTCAACTTGGATCGTGATCTGATTGGGTTTAATTGAGACAGATCGTTTAATCATTTCAACGTTCAAGTGGATCGCGTTGATTGTTCAGATTGAAGCATTCGTGGTTCATCGAGCTATGCCCAGGTGTGACGAATTGCGTCGCGATTACATATGCTTCGTTACGCGAACCGCCGAGTGGAGATCCGACAAAAGCTGCACGTATGTTTACGGATCATATACTGACGCATCGTTTCGCACGATAGATTCATGTTATATCAATCGCGAAAGTATGCATCGACACGCGGCGGATGTATGGCCGACACGTAATCTACGGGCGACGTCGTCATCGCGCGGAGGGAGAAGTAACCGACCTGGAGCATCGATGGGCCTCCGTTGCATTTGAAAGCCGCTGGCCGCTGCATCGAACTGTTATTGTATCTGACCGGTATCGCTCGTTGCGAGTCGCCGATCAATTCACCGTCGTCGATTGAAGCCGTCAACCGTGATCGAGTCGGCGGCCGACGAAGCAAGGAGTCGTCTATTGGCCGCGCGCCGCTGCCGGGTCCGTCTGACCTCTGAGCTATACAGACGAGCGTGTGCACCGCGGTAACTGCGTTGGTTTGTGCGTCCGCGTCGTCTTGCGTCTGTGGTCGTGGTTACGGTGCGCCGGCAGACTCGCGAACGGCTTTCCACGCTCCCTGCGTCGCTGCGCGCATATTGAGTGTATTCGTAACACGTACACAACCGTCGAGACAGTTGTCGACGCTACTCTGTAGGCAGTGCGTGCCAGTGAGGGCGCGAGTACGTACCGCGGTGTTGTTTGCGTGCATGCGGGTAGCAAGCTGTTCCGCGATGCGCGCCAATTGGTCCCCACGGTGACGCCGTGCAGTCCGGCGCTGACGGACGCTGTCGCACGATGCCCGCCAGCGCCCGCGGGCATGTGAGTAGTTGAAGTGCCCGGACGTGAGGTGTTTTATGACGCAATTTAGCGGGAAGCGAACATATCACCTCGTAGCGGACGCATACAACCAGCCAGTTTTGAATGTATGGAGCTGATCAGGGGATCGGCTTTAATGTGTCGACAGTTCTCGGAATTGATTCAAGGATGCGGCTTGATGTGTGTGGATACTGATGCGAGGGATGGCGGGCGTTGATGTGGTCGGCACTGAACTGCACGGATGCGGGCTTGATGTGTGGCGCCTGCCTTCGCAGGGATGCCGGTTTTATATGTGAGGGCTGATGCAAGGATGCGGTCTTGCTGTGTGGACCTGATGCAGCAGGATGGGGCTTGATGGTGGACGGCAGTCAGGGCTGCGGGCTGATGTGTGGGACCTGCTGTCACGGAAGCGGGCTTGATGGTAGACTGGCTGCATGATTGTCGGTTAGATCGTGGAGATTGATGCCTGGATGCGGGTTGGTGTGGCGGGACTGGATGCAGGTCTGCGGGGTTGAATATGGAGGAAATACCTTCCCGATCCAAGGCAAATGCGGTTTGTATGTGAGGGCTAGATTCATGGGAGCGGGCTGCATGTTTGGGCTGGGATGCAGGATCGGGTTTGAGCATGGAGGACTGTGATGCAAAGGATGCGGTTTGATGTGTGCGGCGATCGATGCAGGATGCGGGTTGTGGATAGTGGAGAGCTGCGCAAGTAGATGCGGGGTTTTGATATGGAGGACTGATTGCAAGGATGCGGTTTGATGTGTATGGCTGTATGCAGGGATGCGTTTTGATAGTGGGACTGATGCAGGGATGCGGTGTTGATGGTGAGGCGACTGATGCAGGATGCGGGTTTGAGAGTGAGGGACTGATGCAGGAGGCATGCGGGTTTGAAGTGAGGGACTGATGCAGGGATTCGGGGTTGATGTGGAGGACTGATGCATGAATGCGGGGTTTTTGATGTTCATACTACCTCACACACTACAACCTATATACCTTCGTAATACCTGCGGTCTAAGGACAAACTGCGGATGTCCCATCCCATCCATCTCCCCTTCAACGCTGTTTATCTGTAATCTGTCTTCCCATTTCTAGGTGCGCAGGATCACGTCCCGACAGGACCAACCGGTTGACGTTCGTAAATCTCCCGTCGCTTCGTGCTTCCGGAAGTCGGCTATACTCTGGGCAGCAGAGAGACGCGTAATTGAGTAGAGCGTTATTGATGGCTATGTCTCTCTCGTCGGTTCAGCAGCCGCCCGCCTTTTTCACGGCGGCAACGCCTCATAAATTATCGCACGAAGCGGGGTAACCGGCACTTTCGTAACAGTTTTTTTCGCGATGGAGCGAGCCTCGTGTCACTTGCTCGCTTCGCTCCTGCGGGCTTGCCGGCGGTGGAGCCGACAGCTGCGGTGCGCTTCTAACGCGTTCATCGTCCCATGCGCGTTGCCTCGCCCCGTTGACTGGGGGAGAGATAGATAGAAAGAAAGAAAGTAAAGATATGATATAGGTAGATTTAGATAGAGTAGATAATAGATAGATAGATAATTAGATAGATAGATAGGATACGATAAGATAGATAGATAAGATCGATAGATAGGCTATATAGATGGGGAAGCTAAGCCGTAGATTAGATACCATAGATAGATAGATAAGTATGATAGAATGACGATAAGGAATATATAGTATAGATAGATAAACGTAGATACGATAGATATATAGATGAGAGTAGATAGAACAGATAGATTAGTAGAATAGATCGATAGATAGATAGATAGGATAGATGAGTAGGATAGAGTACGCTAGCTAGCGTAGCTAGAAGATAGATCGATAGATAGATGATAATAGAGTATATAGATAAGATAAATAGGATAGATAGATAGATAAGATAGATAAGATCGATACGATCAGATAGATAAGATCGATAGAGAGATCTATAGATAGACATAGAGCGAGGGGAGGAGAGGGGAGAGAGAGAGGAGAGAGTGGGGGAGGAGCTCTGTTAAGAGCAGGGTAGAGGAAAGATAAAAGAGCCCAGAGCGAGGAGAGAGGAGAGAGAGAGAGAGGGAGAGATAGAGGAGAGAAAGGAAAAGAGATAACGAGAGGAGGACAGGTCGAGACAAGACATGACACACACGCACGCACGGCAGCACGGCACGTACGCACGCCAACACACCCACACAGAGCGAGCGAGACGAGAGGAGAAGAGAAGGGAGAGAGAGATATGAGAGGAGAGACGAGAGTAGAGAGAGCGATGAGAGAGAGAGAGAGAGAGAGAGAGAGAGAGAGAGAGCGCGAGAGCTGAATATTGCGATAAGATCAAAAGCTTCGCGATGTAGCGTTAAGGCGACAGGCGTCAGTGTCTGTACGGCCGCGGGTACGTGCATGGTTCGCGGACGGCAGGCGAAGCAGCCGCGTATAGTAAGTAGCACGAACGGTCGCGAGTATTGACGCGAGCTCTACTAGTATATTCTTTTATGTATGTATTGCAGCTGTGGAGATGGCGGCCGCATATTCCATAGGAAACGATTACGGCGAGTCGGTCATCAAACAACGCAACGAGACTAAGGTAAGCAGTGGTGGGCGACAACCCTCCGCCCAAAAGAACACTCATACGCACGCCCACGTCCGTATGCGCGCACGCACGCGCACGCATGCACGCGCGCACGCACACGTGTGACGATGAAACAGCGATGACTGGACGCACCGGCTGCTGCGGCTTGCAGATGATCGGCCCCTACACAGATGGACTATACCGACGCCGCGTGAGCCGCTGCGAAGGAGGCGAACGCGGGGGGAGGGGGAGAAGGCATTTAACTCCGCCGGCCGCGGAAGTTGATGGCAACTATCTCCGGTGGGCGTGTTGGCCGCGTGCGCGCGCGCGACCAGCACGCTCGCGTGCATGTTCAACGCTCTCTCCGGGGTTTCCCGAATTAGCATGCGATGACAACGGGCCACGGGAGACTCCGCTCGGCTGTGCGTTCACTTTGATAATGACTCGATGTGGCACCAAACAGCGTCGAATGCACGTCCCCGCGTAGTCAGACATGCTGAGGCGGTGCGGCTTCGAACTGAAATAATCTCGAACGGATTCAAGAATTCATCATATTATAGATGTAGACGCCCGGGATGCCGTGCCGCAAAGCCCGTCGACGCTATACACTGCTCGCAAATCAATTTCGAAATTTTTTGCCGTTGCTATGCGGCAGCTACTGGGGGCATCAATAATTTACGTCGCGTTTTAGCTAGGTGACTTTGACGAAACAACACCGGCCCGCCCATGCATCTCGACTCGAAAGCGTCGAGTTCGAAGAAATAAGAACTTGCCAATTACGATGTCGATCTGACTTGGCTATCAACTAACAGTTCAATGGGAAAGTGAGAGAATTGAGACGTGAGACGAAAGATGGCCGCTTCTTAACACGGAATCGATGACAGAAATTTAAATGGAGGGTTCGATTTACATAACAGCGACCGCGTTTGTCGGAGTCTAGTAAGGAAGTCGATAATGCTGTTTCAAACGTTACAACGACAAGACGCGTTAACTTTATTTGTTCAACCTTTTAACACACACACACACACACACACACACACACACACACACACACACACACACACACACAGCACACTCGGTTAGCAGCAAACGCACACCACGGCGACACACGCACTAATTACGATACATATCACACATCAACCAGCACATACCAGGCCCACATACACACAGCATACATACATAGCGATACATCATACATACATACATACATACATACATACAGTACTACATACATAATACTACATACCTACTACATACATACATACATTCACAGCTGTTCCGGTCACGCAGCAAAACGCACACACGCAATCCACACGCACACGACGCACACACGCACACAAACCCGCCGGAAAATAGTGTGCGGCGGCGCCGACACGCAGCACAACGGCACAACACGCGACACACGCACACACATACATACATACATACAGTTCACATACATACCATACATACATAGCACTACATACATACATACATACATACAACTACATACATATCCATACATACATACACTACCATAACTACATACATACAACCATCATACATACTACATACATATACGATACAATACATACATCACATACAAACACACACACACCACACACACACCACACACACACCACCACACACAGTACATCCCACAAAAAACCACAAGCACAGGCACGCACGCATCGCAGGCGCGCGACAACGAAAAAACCACAGGAACACGGCGCGCGGCGCGCAACGGCGCACAACTGGTAGCACAGATAAGATACTTGTGTGAATAAATATCAGATTTTGTGTGGCGGACCGAGCAACTAGAACTTTTTGGGCGGAATGCGAACAGCCCTAAGCAGCATGAAATTGATAATGAAAGGAATATAATAATGAATATACTTCACATTTCTTTGTTATAATAAAATTGGAAAACGTACATGAAAATGGGACAGAGAGGGAGGAGAGAGAGGGAGAGAGATAGGGGTGAGGACATTGGGCTCTATTTGATTGAGAGTACGAGAGAAGATGAGAGTAGAGAGAGAGAGAAAGAGATAAAGGGGAAATATAGAGAGAGAGAGAGATGATGATGATGATGAGGAGAGAGAGGGAAAGAGAGATGATTAGAGAGAGTTAGAGAGAAGGAGAGAGAAGGTTGAGACAGAGAGGGGAGAGAGAGAGAGAGAGAGAGAGAGAGAGAGAGAGAGAGAGAGAGAGAGAGAGAGAGAGAGAGAGAGAGCGAGACGGCGGTGATCTGAACGTTTAGCAGACATGCAACCATGCAGGCCCACGTGCGGCATGCCCAATTTAATCTTAAACGGCAATGTTTCTCATTTTCATATTTCCCATGTCTACGAATTGTCCATAAAACCATAAAAATAACATCGTCGATAAAAGTCGACATCATTACCATAAGTCAATTATCATTACCTTGACGATTATGAACTGCAACGGGAGATTGTAAGATTACACGTATACATACTTATCGCCACACATTACCGTGCGAGAAAATTGTAGATCATTAATCATTTAGTCGGCATGCATTACAGTCACTAATACGTATCCTTGCGAAGAGAAGAGTTTCGTATAGGAAAGCCCCATGCCCATAACGTACAGGATCCGATTAGACCACGCCTTATTCAATCATCTACAGGGCGCTATTCAGCACCCATTCCACATCTTATCTTAACGGCCAACAACACCGCGTCCAACCGTCTGCATGTTGTCACCCCATGCGAATCGGTAACGCGACGTGAAAACCATGGCGGGTACTTTTCACGACGCGCGCCATCTACCGTTACAGGCCGCGCCACTGACAACAATGAGGACAACTACGTCACCGGCTAGCATGACCGACTCGCGCGGCTGGGTTGGCATGGCATCGGCCACGTTCTTCGGCTGCATGGTCATCGCTGCGCTACTCATAATCACGCTACAGTTTCTAGCGAAAACCTACGGAAAATACAGTGAGTCCGCGTCCGCTCCCATCTTCGCATAACACGCAGCTCACCAAATAGCCAATTTCGAAGACAATGCGACAGGAGGTGGATAATAATTAGGAGAGACAGAGCGGGAGAGTGGTCAGGTCTCCAGGGTCAGCGGTAACCGTTGGGCTTAGGTAGCGTTGCAGAAAAGGAAAACGCGTGCAGTATATTACAAAGAGAAAAATAGAAAGACACTAAGTCAGAGAAAAGAGGAGCGAAAGATCGAGACAGCGAGAGAGGGAAAGGGCGAGAGAGCGGGTGGATGAAAGGGAGAGGTGGTAAAGTTCAGTCAGTTGCAAAGAGCAAGCAGAGAGATACATAGACATTACTGTTAATAATAATTATAATACTAATAATAATAACAACAACAATTAACACAACCACCCCCACCACCAACAACATCATCATCATAATCATCATCATCACTATCATCATCACCATTATCATCACCATCATCACTACTATCAACAACAAAAACATGTTTAAAACGATTGGGCTTGTATTTCAGGAAGCATCGAGACGTTTTGTGACGCCGTGCAGCATCAGCGTGACAATACGACCATGATGTGGGGCAAGCTTAGAAATGACGGTAAAGCCGATAACAGGTGACTTAGCAAGCCATTTGCAATCTAAATCAATGCGACTCGACCGCTTATGGCAAGTGTTGTGCGTTGATTAACAATAAGCGCTCGAGATTCGAGGAAAATCTGGAGAAATAGTTAATCAATGTGTATCTGTCTATTATTCATTTTTGCCAAACATTGCGCGGGCGATAAATATCGAAGGCTGAAATTGCCTTGTCCATTCCTTATTAGCTCAGGCGCCACACGTTCATATGCGTTAATGCCGCTCTCGCCTTAGATTGCCTACCAATAAATAAATTTATAATGCATACACTATCCCCACTAATTTTCCCTGCAAAAGTTGATGTATGGCAGCACGTTAAGGTACGACAAAATGAACATTTGTATCGGTTAATACCGTTATAAATAAAAATAATGGTATCGTAATTTAAATTGACTCAGGTAAACTGAACCTTATTCACGCATTCGCGGGCCTACGCCTCTAATTTTGCTAGACCAACTGAGGTGGCAAGTCACACTTTACAAGGAAATTACATTAACGTTTTAAGAAGTTTGTTTGGTTTAATTTTTGAAACGGCAATAAACATTGTTTGGGTTACAGTAACTAGCTTTTTGCAATGACCATAATTAAAGCTCTATTACGTTATTTCTATACTATAAATTTACGTATTAAAATACGTATAATGTCTATGTGAGTGGTATCACTAATGTCCATTTAGTCATTGCATTAGATTGCTCGCAGGCAAACAGAAATGGCTGTTCAACGACTGCATAGTACTCAGTTCTGTATAGTCAGAGGAAATCTGTGTTCAAATCATTACTTTTCCATTCTACAACGAATCGAGGTTCAGATGAGTCATTAGCAGCAACTATATAGGACGTAATTTAGTTTCCTGCGCGTTCCCGACAAATTTGCGAGAAGCTGTTATTTTCGATTTACTTAGCGGAAGCGAGCGAAACTGCAAATTGCGCCGAATCATAGAACACGGTATTTTTCCAGAAACAAATTAGCGAAGAAGGCGTCCAAGGACGCTCTAGACGCAGCACCGCAGCAGCCGCCTAACGCGCACCCTACCGGCGCGCGAGAGAAAGACACGCACCCACAGAGGCGGCACAGCTCAAATGTGTCGACCAAGAGCCAGCAGGTGCAGAGTCCGGCGTCATCGCCGCGCGCATGCGCCGGAAACGTCGCCGCCGGTCAAACGCAGCGCCCGTTGTCCAACGGTACGAAGCCAGACACTGGTCAGCGGGCGCAAGCACGAGCGGAACGAAACGGGACCGTGGTTCCCAACGGAAAAGCGGCGGGTAAAGCCGTCGCTCTAACGACAGCCAGAGGACATCCGGCCTTCAAGAATGTCGTCACGGGTGACATCATGGTGCACGAGCCCGTGTGCGCGGGCGCGGCCGGCCGCGTGAGGCAGGAACACGAGGCACATGCGCAGCTGGTGACGGCCGACGAGGACAACAAGCGACCGATACGAGTCATAGTGGTGTCCAAATGCTACACGACCAAACTATAATATAGAGCCTCGCTCCCCCAACCCAGCAGGACAGTTACTACAGCGACTGCCGAGCTACGGTTATCGAGGATATGCCCCCGATACGTCGAGGACAGCTTTCACTGTTGTCATTACGCTCACTATTCCTCTCTTTCCGTGTCCGCGTGCTTGGCTACTACCATTAAGGAGAGAGCAAGAGGCTTTTTTAAGGTGCGTCTTATGTACGTGCCTGACTATACTATAGGTGGTTAAGATTCAGTGCCTTAATCTAAGAGATCATGGAATATAATATATATATATATATATATATTATATATATATATACGTATATATTCCAGAATCAGCATTTATTGAGGAATAAATTAATGTATATTAAAAATTATTTAGAAATACATTAAGGCTTCTTTTAAATTTACATTTATATAAAGTATGATATGCTGAAAATATTAATATTTGGAGAATTTACTATGTAATATTTTAGTGACATAATACGTATAATTTTAATGAAATATATTATACACGTATATTGTGCTATTTCCTTGATGTGCAACAAAGAATCACAGCCACTTAAAATTAATCTATTTTGCAGAAGATGGAAGATCACTTTGTTTTTGCACTAAAATAAAAAAAAACTTAATAGTGTGTAATTTATATCATCATATTTAATTTGTTTATGATTTTTCCATGCGTGATTCAGAGATTAGTGTCGAGGACAATAATTGACCTCTAAACAACAGGGTATACATTAACAAGAACCTTTGAACCAGTAAGGGCGAGTAAGTAATTCTTATTGCAAGTTCGATGCTAATACCTTCAACGGAAAGTAACTCACACATACAGGTCCGCAACACACACCACCGATTCACAGGCAATATAAAATGTTGAAATACACACGGTGAACAGCTGGAAAACGTGTATGACAAAATAGCTCATGCCACCGGTTACAAGAGGAAATAGAAACGCCAAGTGTCACGTGCCGAGTAGATTTGATGTGACAAGAGAGAAGACGCCGTCCTGCTGTTGTTCCTACCTTCCGCAGACGATGATCTCTCCCGCTATACTGACACACTCACAATGCATGCCAGCCTAACACATCAACCGCATGCTCTGAGATCACCAACCGTTAGCTCAGACACCACCTAAATGTATTTCACCCCCTTGCCTCGGGTTTCTGAATAACTGCGACCACCGGGCAACACATATTAAACCAATTACCCCGAACTGCTTACTCAAACCGTTATATAAGGCGAGTTAGACGATTGATACACACACCGATATACGATTGTTAGTATACGCCAGGCCAGCACGCGGTGATAATCTACGCGTGATTGCAGGCCATTATATGAAAGACTGCAGCAACGTCGATGGCACGTCAAGCACGATTTCAGTTTCGTAACTATTTTGCCTGCCTCGGCGATTACCTCCAAGGAAAGCGAACGCGCAAATTTTGACGACGTGATAGCCTGTCAACAAACGCATCAACGTTTTCTGCTCTAATGCTCTCCCTGCCACGCGTACATCAGCAGTACAATACAATGGCCGTCTACAGTCGCTCGCTATCGTTTTGCGCGGGTAGAAATACACGCACGCACCTGTGCGCGTACGCGCACTACACGCACGCGCCTTACGCACACGCATGCAGGCACGTCCTGAGATCTCTCAAGTACAGTTAAATTCAAATTTGGGCACAAGATGGCAGCACTCAAACTCGTTTCCCCTGGAGCTCGTCGGCTCTCATAGTTCGTCGTGGAGTAAGTCGGGCGTCCTGGTCGGTATCGTGCACACGGCCGGCGTCGTGAATGTGAACAGGTACTCGCAGCGATTCGGCTCGGACGCGCTGAGAAGCTGGTTTTCTAAGCCGCAGGTCACCATCACCTGCAATATGACACAGCGGCCGATTAACATAGTCTCACCGCACGCCGGCCACTGTGCGCAAACTAACAGAAAGATGAGTGTAAAGTAAAGAACTAAAAGCGTGTGTTTCTGTCTGTCTCCCTATCGAGTGCGCTCTCGATAATGCGTTCAAAATAGTATTTAGTTAGCAGAGACTATTTGTGTGATTTATGGACAAGCATTAGATAACCATGGGCGCTTGGGCTGTTTCTATAATGTGATGATAGGTAAATCAACACGAATTGTATTCACTACCAAAAGTCACCATGTTTATATTTTCTATGTTGCCTAATAATTCCATGTAAATGCCGTTCAAATGCTCCTCTGCAACACACAATCTCACCGCACGCACGCCACTGTGCATAAACTCACTGAAGTGTTTCTCTCTGTCTTTCTATCAATAGAATCATGACATGGAATGACATGGCAGAAATGACATCGGGGACGGAGGGATGTGAGCAAGATTCCTGGCATTAACCGTGTCAAACTCGCACTGCAGCCAGAATGTGGCGGGGGCTTTTAGCAATTCTTTCTGTGTAACGACTGCGGACTGCTTTAGAATTTAAAAATCCGTAGGATTTGTGCAGCTTCAAAAACATTTACTAAAACCATCGTTCGCGCGTACATATGAAGCTAGCGTAGATTCCCCACAGGATAGGTGAAGGCTGGGTTGCTGCATGCCTCGTCAAATGCCAGGTGTACATTCACCAGACTTCTATTCACGCCACACGCATACACACACACGAGTGATGTGCACACGCTAATGCACATGACCTACACGCCAGACACACCATATAACCACACACACGTCACTCACGTACACATACACACACCCAAGCACACGCACCTTGCTTGTACGCACACACGTGCAAACACACACGTGAACGCACACACGTATAGATTCAAGCTCGTGTAAACACACGTGCAAGAAAGCACGCACGCACGCACGCACGCACACGACTGATTGTGGCCCCACGACTTGCATAGTGCACAATAATTATTTGTGTAAAATCGTGGATATAGGAGTCTGCATGCTTCCATGCTAATATCGAACTCAAGTTTACGGGAATCGAAGTACAATTCTTTACGCTCATTCAGGAAGTGTGTGCAGTATGGGCAGGAGATGCAGTGGTCACATAATAAAGCCAATTGCTCCGAATATAAAGCTTATTAGAACAGGCCATTAAGTAATGCAAGTAACCTGTGCTCTGCGTGCTTAAAATTTATATTCAGGCTGGCTGGCTGAATAGAAGGGCAAGGTAGGTTAGATGGCATCTGGGATCTAATGGACTCTTGCTAGAAGCAGGCAATGAGATGTTTTTTTATGTTAGCTCACCTTGGCTGACCGCTTTGGGCCATTCCAACATTGAACACCATCTGAGAAGCTCATTTGATCAAACTCATTGTCTTCTGTGCCAAGCCATTTGTCCCAGACTCTGCAAGAAAGGTTAACTGTTGACTGGATACAGTTTAACATTGCCAGTGACACTTAATGTGTTGTCTAAAAAATACCATACAAAATATGCAAAGGTTATACGTTCGTAAATGTCGTGCCTTTCCGAAATTACTGACAATAGCATCGAATATGACAATGAATCGAAAAATGTACAGTCAATATAAGTCACCAGTGCTGTTTAAGCTTCATTCGCAATTAAGAGACGATATAAATTACTCAATGATGTTATGCTTTAAATAGCACATTCCTAGATTCATTAGAATTGCCTACAGGTGGCTCTAGTGGTATTTCAGCAGTTATGCTAGTTCTTTATTTCCCTAGTTCTCCAGTTCCCTTGCAATATTTAACCAAATTGACAATAAGTGAATCCTTTTGCAAGTATGGGATAGCTCTAGCAACTACCTTTATATTCATTGTATCATTTCTTGAACATTTTAAGCATGAAAACCAATCGGACACAGATTCTATACTGGAACAGGATCTAAGCAAACCAAGTATGAGCAACCTAGTCACTTAAAGTTTCTCTACTCATACTGATCACATGCACCTCTGCCTCCTTATAAAAATATGGGTTTGAAAGGATATATAAGCATGAATAAAACCTACACTTTCTCACACACGCATCACGTAAATGTCATGAGCATTTCAAGAAAACCACGGAAAGCATGAGAACGCAAAAGCATGGACGTGTACAGTGAAGGTATCCATGCTTACCCTAGGCTTGTCTCACCACCTCCAGCCTTTGGCCTCTGTGACACCTTATCGTATAAGCAGAGCTTGTAGATATACTCCCTCTCGGTGTATTCAAAGCACTGCTTATCCAATTGCAGGAACTCGTTCTCCTGGCCATAGTAGTTTTTCGTGTACCTCTCTAGATTTCTGTAAGCACAAAGTGAGGAAATGCTTTATTATAACACAAATGCTGCGGCACTCAACTAGCAGCAACTAAAACATTAGAGAAAATTAAGCCCTGCTGCTGCACCAATAAACAGCAATAACTCAAAAATGGGCATCAGTGACAAAATCCAATAAAGCAACAGAATTGTAACATTTGGAGCAATAGTTAGAGGTATAATGAGCGCACATATTAACTAGTTGGAAACTGGAGAATATTCATCAATAAATCTGCTGCATTTTTATTATTTATTTTGCTTCTCTACTGTCACAAAGAGAGAGCAATGTAGTGTGAATCAGCCATATGTATGCACTTTTCAATCACAATAAGGGTCTGCTTTAGCTCTGCATTCAACTTGCACTGTAGATGCTAGTGCTATGTACTAGAGACTATAACAAAGATTAGAGAGGTGATATCACGTGGCACGTGTTCTTTAGCTCACATGCCACGATAACACGAAGAAAACGATCGCAGAAGGACTCACTTGATTTCATCTGCCATGGTTTGATGTTGCTGCTGCGCCTCCTCGTATGCGTTCCTCGCATCGTTGGCAACTGCGAAAAGCACATCATGCCATCATTACTATAACACAACACACGTTTACCGGGATACTCCTTATCTCGAAAAAATTTAATATCGACCGTCTTAGTACTTCAAACTGATACACAGCCAGATGGTAAAATATATATACGTGCGTGTGTGTGTATATGTGTGTGTGTGTGTATGTGTGTGTGTGTGTGTGTGTGTGTGTGTGTGTGTGTGTGTGTGTGTGTGTGTGTGTGTGTGTGTGTGTGTGTCGTGTGTGTGTGTGTGTGTGTGTGT